CATTTAGCCAAGCACACTCAGCAAGCTCTGGGCCCTGGGCTCCTTCCAGCCAGTGAGCCCGACAGAGAGAAAGAGCAGGGCAGGCAGGAGGGCAGCCCCAGGCCTCGGGGCAGCGGCACCTGCAGGTGTGTGCCCCGAACGAGCGAGAGGCTAACACACGGGGAGTCCTTTCTTGGCTCCACACTGGGCTCTGCGCCAGGGCCAGGGCTGGCTGGGGACAAGGGTCGGGCAGAGGAAGGGTCTTGTCCAGGGTGGGTCTTCCCCCGTAACAGGTCTGGGACGCCCCCCAGTGCAGCATGGAAAGGGGATCAGTCCGGTGGAACCCCAGACTATCAGACCTGGAGGCACTGCTAAACACACGGAGCCAGGATTCCCAGACCTGGGGATTCCTCTGACCACGAGATTTCAGAATGAGCTTGGGGGGCTGCCGTGGGGTGGGCAGTGTTTTCGCGATCAGCAGCGTCACACGCCACTCATGATCGCCAGCCCCTCACAAGATGGGACACATCAGCAAGAGAGAACCAGGATCTGCAGTTTCAGAAGAAGCGGTCATTCCTACACCCTCAGCTGGACGGCCTCGTCTGTTCGGCGATGCGGTAACAGAACCGGTACCACGGGCGGGGTGGTTTCCGCTCCACAGGCGGACCTATCGGCTCCCAGGTCCGGAGCCTTCTTCCTGCGTCTGCCCTCGGCAGAGAGGGCACGAGGGAGCCGGAGGGGCCAAGGACATCTCTTCCCTTGAAGCTGTCTGTCCACACAGCAGGTGCTTTCTCCGGGGCTGGCTCCCCTGTTGGGTGCTCCCCCTCCAGTCCCCTCCCCGCTTCTCAATCTGGGTCCCACGCTCACGCTTCTAGGCCGGCAGTCAAAACTCTTCCTCCAGGAACACAGAGAGCAAGACGGCTCTGAAGCGCAGGGAGCATTCTCCGGGAAAACCCACCAACAGGAGACAGTGCTGCCGGCGCTCTTCCCTGCGTACTTGGTCAGAGCCCAGGCTCAGCGGAGACAGGTGGAACTGGCTGGCTTTGCAGACAGGACAGCACATCCCAGGGCAACGGGCCAGTGGCTACCCTGGACACGCACGCACCCAGGACCCCAATCTCCACAGCAGCTCTCCCACCAACAGCCCCAGAACGGACACAGTCCCAGCGACCCCCGCCCAATGCACTGTGGCAAAGTCTACAGCAACGAGCCAACTCCAGCCACAGGCGACCCCGGGCAATGTGCTGTGTGTCTCACAACCAACTCACGGTGCTGGGAGATGTTCAGGGGGCAGGCGGCGGGGCGGGGGCAGCAGGGGCTGGAAGGGGGCCCCAGGGCACTCTGCGCATTCTGGCACGATTCCGTGTCTTGGCCTGGGTGCTGGTGACACAGTGTGCCTGCCTTGTGAAAACTCACCGAGTTGAACACTTGGGTTTCCACTCTTTCTTGAATCTCTGTAGCACCTCCATAAACTTGCCAAAAAGAAAGAAAGACAAACAGGCCAAGAGACGCACAGAGCCATGAATCCGGCAGTTGCAACTCTGGGAGCGGGTCCTGGACAAAGGCTGATGGACGCAGAAGCCCCGAGCCGCCTGGTTTCTTAAACACAGTGTGAAATGACAGCAGCGCATGCACACAGCGGGATATGGAGGCATGGACACAGGGCTGACCCCAGTCACCCCTGCCACCTCCCGCTGGCCTGTCTGCTCTCTGGAGGGGCCCAGGAGGGCTTTGCCGTCTCCCAGACACCGTGGACAAGGGTGGGCACTTCACTGCAAAGCTGAGGAGGGTGGCTGGGGGCATGGCTTTCTGGACTGGGGAGGTGGGGGCAGACACAACACAGGAAGTGCCGGCGGGGGCCCTCTTGCGACGGCCAAGGACTCCCGCTAGGGGGTGCAGGGTCAGCCCTGCAGCTGAGGGTCGAGTACACCCTGGGCGCCACCCCTGCTTGCAGACCATTCCGGGAGTGAGGTGTGGATGCCGGCGGGGGCCGTGGTGGGAGGTGCTGGGTGAGCAGGTGTGACGGCCAGAGGAAGGGGTCGCAGGTGACCGTCATCAAGGAGCGGGGGCCGTGGTGGGGTCCTGCGTAGAGAAAGCACTCCAGGTCTGGCGAGAACAGGGGCTTGGTTCCAAGACCCTCGCTCAGAGGCGTCTGCCGGGTGCCTAGGCGGAGGCCCGCCGCTCGCTCTCCCGCTCCACTCCCAGGGACCGCGCCTTTGCAATCCGACGAGGAGGCAGACAGCACACCGACAACTAGACACAGCCGGCCACAGGGGCCCTGCAGAGGGAGAGCGGACGCGCGCCCGGCAGGCACACGGGGCCACCCTGGGAGGGGCACTGCAGAGAGCAGCCAGCGAGCTCGGCGGTGACCGGAAGCAGCCAGAACCACTGGCTTAGTCCTCCTTGTAAGGCCGCCGGGCCCCCTCTGACCTCATCTAATCCCAGCTGCCTCCCACACGCCCCCACTGGGGGACCCAAACTCAAACTCCAGCTGCAACCACGGCGCGGGGTGGGGGTGGGGGTGGGAGGCGCCGGGGCGCAGGGCTCACAGCCCCGGTCAGCCCGCAGGAGCCCCTGCAAGGTTCAAGATCCCTCCCAGGTGCCACGTGCGTGCGGTTAGGAAGAGTTGTCTTGTGGCCACCATGTTGAGCCTGGTTCCTGGAACCCGACCCTTCTTCGGGTGCTGGTTTCAGTCTAGTCTCACCTTCCACCGGTTGTGGACTTC